GCATTCGGCTCCGTTGGCCGCGCCACGCATCGATTCGCCTCGTCGAATCCCGACCAGCCGATCCTTCGTGACTGCTCCGCGCGAGGCCTTCGGATCCGCGCGCTTCCGGGGAGAGTACGGCGGCCATCGCCGTCGCCGCGAGATGCGCGTCGCGAGCCGAGATACGTGCTGTATCATTAGTTATAATTGCCGCGTCATCCGCCGAGACACGCGACACCGCGTTACAACAATGACATTCCAGCGAACAATGCCGAAGGGCACCTCGCGGAATCCACGTCAGGCGGCGGCCTCGATTAGAAAAATCTCCACTCGGCGTTACGGGATCGCATATGAAATCGCGATGGCAGCTCTCCGCCGATACTCCGTGCTCTCCGATGCTCCGCGCTGCCGAGTGTTTCTCGCTCCTCGCGGGAGGGACGGGGGGGGGGGGGCTGCAGCGTGCAACCGCTGCCGTATAGATAAACGACCGTGGCATTTTTCCGAGTTTTTGTGTCGCAGAGCCGAGCTATGCACGACGCTCGCGACTCCGCCGACGGCGCGGCGCAGTTCGTTAGCGCGGAATCCCGCGCCGCCGCCGTCCGGCCGACTCAATCGAGCGTCGCGTTTCCAGGCGATCCGCCTAACCCAGAAACATCGATTAGCCGAGCTGCCAATTAGCCCGCGCCGAAGAAAAAGCTACGCCGCTCGAGAACGCTCGTTAGGCCGCAATTGCCGCGCGCGGCGGATCGTCATCCCGCTGGAACGACAGTCGCGGCTACGACTTCCCGTCGCGCGCGGATTCTTCTGCGCCGCCTTGTCCTCGTCCCCGTCCTCGGCCTTGCCCACCTGGCGTTTCCGCGTTACGCTCCCACTCCTCCTCGCCGCGGCTCGCGTCGCGTCGCTGCAGCTCGTCGGCCAACTTTTGCCGCTGCAAATAATTGCGGCCGATAGCTAGGATTTGTCCACTTGGCGAACCGACGCGATTACTTTGTCCGCCGCGGCGGCAAAAGAAGCCTGACCGCCGAGCGAAACTTTGCTCTCTATAAATAATAGAAAAAGTCGAGGAGTCGGCGAGTCGTCGAGGGCGCGGGAAAAATATGAGAAAACTGCCAAGATAGACGTCGCCCGGCAGCAGCGACGAGGGCGCGGGAAAGAAGAGGACGGAAAGTCGCGCGCTCGACCGACGGCCAGCCAAACTTTCGGCCGGGCGAAACAATGGCTCTCGAGCGATCGATGGCCCATTAAAGCGCCGCGCTCGCAGGCGGAAAATTAGCGAGAGCCCGCGGCTTTCAATGGTGCCGCGAGAAATAATCGCCTCTGCCATAGGTAATAACGGCGCGCGTTCCATTGGCCGCGGAAAAACCAACAATAGAGCCGCGGCGCAATTTGGCTGCGGCGGATGCGGGCTCTTCGGCGCGACAAAGTGTCCGCGAGCCGATCCGCTCGAACAGTCGTTTTCGTTCCGGCGAGCGCGTCGAAACACATTTACTTTTATACCCACGGCCCTCCCGCGCGGCTCCCAGTCTGCTGCTTCGCTTTTGCGATTCGCCGATCCGTGCGAGGCCCCGAGGCCCGAGGGCGCGGGGGCGAACTTCGCTCGCAGCGGGCGGCAACGAATCGCTCGGCGAGCGTCGCGCGTTTCATTTGCGCTCGCGGACCCGCGCGGAAATCCCACGGCGGCGCCTTGCGTTGCGGATCCGCCCGCGCCCGCTGGAAATCTGATTAAGGGATACGCTTTCTAGCGGCTCGGCCGGGGCGCCGGCTTGCAGCACGCGACTGATGATCTCGCCGGGGATTAATACTTTTTTCGCCGCTGCGCGGATTACAGCGGAACGGCGCGGCTCTGTTGCCTCGGCACTTGGACTCGCGCGCGTATAATCGAAAAGCAAGCAGCCGGAGTTGCTCCTTTTGGGCGGAGGGATCTCGTCGACCGCGCCCGCCGGGAAGCGCACGAAAACGACGCCTCGGGTGGGGAATTCACGCGCAAAATCGCGAGAGCCGCCCGAGGATGTTGTCCGGCGCACCAGCGTGGCCAGGGCGAAAATCAATTGCGAGGGGCGGCGGCACGCGAGTGACACGTGCGGAAAGCGGAGACAGCTCTGCAGCCGGCTGGTGCGCCCACCGGCCGTCGAGCTCGTTCCGGCTGGTCGCGTGCTGCTGGATTAACAGTGGCGCGGGAGGCGAGCTCCCGGACACGGCACGTATGAGCTCGGTTAATTTGCCTACAATTGGCAGGCCGGTAGGCGACTTTTACCGAGAACTCCCTCCGAGGATCCGTATGGGTGGCGGCTACTACTCTCGGGCGCGGTCGTCGTCGAGACTCGCGACTAATGGAAACGCTCGGGCGCGCAACGGTCGGACGGCGAGCTGCAGCAAAATGAGACTGCGCCAAATTAATGAACGGCGCCGAGTCATGCGGAATAAAGGCCAATTCCGGGATTCGTTTTCGGTGGGAATTGATCCGCACGCTCGCGGCCCGAGAGGCGCGCGGATAAGGGGCGATTTTCCGAGCCGGCCCGGCCAAAAAAGAAAAGGCGCACCGAGACGAAGAAGAATGAAGCGGCTAGCAGCCAGAGCACGACAGCTCTCCCGAGGAAAACAGTCGGCTCGACAGAAGCCGCTCGGTCCGTTAATCAGAATTCGGCAATAACGCGTGCGCAGGCCAGCCCCCCGGAGATCCATCGGTTCGCAGCGGAGGAGGAGGGGGCGGCGGGGGCCGCTCCCGCCATTATTCGCTTATCGGAATCGCGGAGCGCGCGACGACAATGGGCATCTCTCCTTCTGGCCTGCGATCGATCAATCGCGGCTAATCTTGCCGGCGGCGCCGCGCGTGCCGCAGTCATCGGTACAAAGCCCGCGCTCCGGGGAAGGCCGGCCAGCGCGCGGCACCCGTTGCGCCAGCAACAGCTCGCCGGTAATAATACCGAGAGCGAGAGAGACTCGTTGATTCCGGTGAATTCGAGCGTTGCGATAGCTTGTCCCGCGCGAAGCCGCCACTCGATCAATCTGCCCGCTGCTCCACCTATCCGCCGCGCCGATCGCTTTCGCGCTTAACGAGATTACGCAACGCGGCCGAACAGTGCGCTCGCCGGGCTCCGCGGGCATTCCGCTGCTCCGGGCTTTTCTTCCGGTTTGGCCGTGGCGGTCGCGGCGCATCTTGGTCCGCGAGCATCGACCCGAAGGGCAGCGTCGACGGCGGAGGAATGGGCCGAAGCCAAGCGGTCGAGGGACGAACGGAAACAGGCGCCGCGCGCTTGTTTTCGCAGGCACCTTTGGAGACGCGTGCTCGCGGGAAAACCGGCCACGTTATTTTCGTTGGGGCGCGCGGGCCCCGGCGAGTGCCCTTGCAAATCAACGTAGCGGGGAGCAGCTACGTCGGCTGGCCGCCTAACTGGCCTAACTGTTATTATTGGTAACAGATTGGACGGAGCAGCGCTGGCGGCGAGCGTACGGACGAGGGCAAGGAGTCGGCCGGTGAGCATCCTCGTATGCAGTTCTGACGCACGGAGTACGTCCGTGCTTCCGCGAAGTTGCTTGTTCGGGCTACTCGCGCACTTTGACGAATATATAGCCATGCCCACGTACGAGTAGCGCCTGCCTTTGACTTTGCTTCCCCGAATCGACGCGACGTGTCCGAGCGCTCGGTTTTACACCTCCACCTCGAACCGAAGAGCCAGCGATTGGCTTCCGGCGGCGACGCGACGGAGCAAGCGGGGCTCAGCTGCTGCAGTCGCGCGAGCTGGAAGGAGCACGCATTGTACGAGCGAAGCGACCGTGGCGAGTCCGCCGGACGGCTGCGTACACCGAGGCTCGGGGGTCGCTGCCGCGGCGACCAGCGCCGGATTCGCGGTCGCGACTCTTTGAATCGTTAACAAACTGCTAACGAGTCACGACGCCGCTCGCTTAATTAGCTGCCGCGCGATCGACTGCGCCACGCTCCTCGCGGCCTCTTCAATTAGGCTCGTGCTCGCCTTGCCAGCTCTCTCTCTCTCTCTCTCTCTCTCTCTCTCTCTCTCTCTCTCTCTCTCTCTCTCTCTCTCTCTCTCTCTCTCTCTCTCTCTCTCTCTCTCTCTCTCTCTCTCTCTCTCTCTCTCTCTCTGTCGGCCGAGCACGCCTATCGTTGATCATGCTCAGCGCGGACACTCACTCTCACAGCCCTCTCTCGCTGCTTGAATATTTAAAGGCAATATTTCCGGGTCTCGCAGGCGCCAGACGGCGCGCAGTCAGCCGTTTATTCTCGCGACGAGCTTGCGACAGCGACACTCCCCCACCCCCGGCCTTCCATCCCGTTTACCTGCATATCCGCCCGTCGCGCAACGTAGCCCCGTGAGTCTGCCGCTCTCAGATTTTCCCAGACACTTTTTGCCAATCTACTTTAAAGCCTCGACGGCTACGACGGCAGCGCTGGCTCAGCCGCGGTCGAACTTTTGGCTCTCCGCTGGCCGCATCGTCGGGATATCGCGCGATCCCGTCTCAATTATATGCTTGTTGGCGAATCTCCGCGAGGTAGCGCGCAATGCCAAACTTGTTGCTGGGAGGGGACGAGAGTGAAATCTCAAGTTTGGCCACTGATAACAGCAGCGTCTCGCTGCTGCGTCTCCGTGGCGGTATCGCCGTAGCGAACGGCCAAAGTATAAGAGAAATGACAGTAGCGCGGGAATTCCGCGTGGAATAGCGAATGAGCCAGCCGAACGACGTGGTCGCGAAAGAGGGCACACGCCGGATGAAAAGTTGCTCGGTCGTTTCGCGAGCGCAGATTGCGCGACGCGTGCACCGTCGCCACTGTCGTATCGCAGCTCCCCCCCCTCCCCCGGGCTCCTTCTTTCTCAGTCGCGTCCTCGGTCCTGCGCGCTCATATTCCACCTCGGTTCTCGCGTGTGTTACCGGCGTGCTTCGCGTTTCGTTTACTCCGGCGTGTCCTTCGTGCATTTCCTTTGTGCGCTGCCCTCATTTTTGCATTTTGTCGTTACCTTTGCCCAACTATGTTCGACTCCCCCCCCCGCCAGACGCAACCGTATTACCTTCATTAGCTTCCCTCGTGGGCTTTCGGGCTTTCTGCCTGGACTTTCGCCGAATGGATTCACGCCGGACCCTCGGCATGACGTCTCGCTTGGGATCGCTCTTACCTGGAACAGCAAAACACGATAACGGGGATTATTAATACAAGTCAAAGGTAAAGAACTGCTAAAGGTAACGTTGAATTAGTTAGTTGGTTAGCGAGCAAACAGCGAGTAGGGCCTGCAATAAAAGCTGCACTCGGCGTCCGACGTAAGAAATAAACAATCGCCGGCGAGTGGCGGTGCGCGCCGTCGTGGGCGTCATAAAAGTTGGAAGGGGTGGCGCGTTTCAGAGAAAAAGGGCATAGGCAAAACAAGACGAGCGAACTACGAGGCGAGCCCGAGTGGACGAACCTACTGACCCGGTTGGCGCCAATATATCGGCCGGGCGCGCGCGCGGCCTGCTCAAATTAAAAGCTCGCGTCGACCGCGCATGACGCTCCACGTCATCGAGCGAAAGATAGAGAGAGAGAGAGAGAGAGAGAGAGAGAGAGAGAGAGAGAGAAAAAGAGCACCGGAGCGAACGTAAACGCGAATTTCATATTCGCGCACGGCAAAGTGCGCTGGCCGCGGGAGCGCTTTGACCGCTGCTAAATGATTGGTCAGCCGCGAGAGCCCCACGCGGAAGGCCACGTAGCTGGCGTTTCGCAGCCGGGCCGCGCCGCCGCGCGCCGTGTCACCGGAAATATTAATGCCGGCGCGGAGCTCGCTCACTGGTCGCCTCGTCGTTTTTCCACTCGCCGTGCCACTGACTTCCGGGGCGGCGAGCGCGGAGCTCTTGCCTCGCGCGGGCAATTGGTCGCTCGCGGCGCGCGTTTCGCGATCGGGGCCGAAAGCGCCGCGTCCGGCGATAAAATAACGAGGCGGCCTGCTAAATTAAATCGAGAACATTTGAAAATCAATATCGCGGCGCCGCGGGTGATTAATTAATTGGCAATTGGAGCTTTGAAAAAGTGGCTCGACGCGCGCGCGCGCGCGCGCATACTCATTAACATAAATTGCGCGCGGCGCGGCTGCGGCAGCTACGCCCCACGTCAATTATTCGTGCCCGCGCGACTCGGCTGAAAAGCGCGAGCCGCGGAGCGAGCCCGTGCGGCCGATCGCGCATTCGTTCCCGCGAATGCGATTGAAAAAGGTGCGATTGACTTCTTGGCCTCGGATCGTCGCCGAGGATCGTCTATGAAAGTCGACCTGGCGGAATTCGATGACGGCGCTGAAAATTAAAAGGCGTCGCAGGGATAATCCGCCCGCGGAAGGTTGAACGCGCGCGAGCGAACCATTATTAATCAGCCACCCCGACGCTCCCCCTGCCCTTCGCCGCCTTCTGTCGCTCGCCTAGCGGCTAATTTAATCCGATTCCCAATATTGCCCGCGCGCGGGCATTAGCCGGCAGCGGCACGTGCTCCGCCACACCATTAACCGGCGGCGATCGCGTTCATCCACGCGTATCCGCGGCTCTCTTTCGCGAGCTCGTACGGCCGGCAGACGAGCTGCCTGATTAGCCGAACAACGAGGCCGCGGCTACCGTGAACGACCAGCCAGCGGAATTCGCATATCCCACTTTTTTTCCCCAGCGGCGCGTTTCGCTCACTGCCCGACGTGCAAAAGTCTATCTCTCTCTCTCTCTCTCGTGCTGTTGCCGCGAGGGCACTTAGGAGAACTTATGCGCGCGCGGTGCGCAGCTATGCAAATGCCTCTGCTCTGCTCGCCGACGCGCGCAACTGTTTTTGATCTTCCTCTCCACGTGTGCGCTTGGCACAAATCAATACCTCGGCAGCGGCGGCGGCGGCGGCGGCGGTGAGCGCTCAATTTATTTCGCGGCGACAGCGGCCGAACGGGGCGGGAAGCGCTTCGCGCGAATTATTTATTTCTTAACTCTCTCCCTCCCTCTCAGTCAAGTGCGTGCAAGTCCGAGCGGCGGCACGCAAAGTTTACGGGAGTATTTGTTGAAGCGATAAGTTATGATCAATAAACGTCGGATCGCGTCGCGTGGCCGCTCGCGCTTACTTTATTTTACGATGTCACCCCATCTAAATAATGCTGCGCTTCCGGCGTTCGCTCCCTGGGCGAAGCGCCGCGGCTACAGCGCATATGGGCGCGCCACGCGCGTCTTCTTCGCTCGGGGGAAATGTATTAAAACACGTCGATGGTCAGGATCGACGTCCGCCGGAGAGAGCAGCGCGCGTTCTAGCTTTCAGCCAGCGCAGAAAAAAAAGAGGAGGAGGAGGAGGAGGAGGAGGAAGGAGAAGAGGAAGAAAACGTGAGGCAGGAAAATTACGAATTAACGTCGTAAAAAGTTGCGGCTCGAGCTGTCGACTCTTGGCCACGCACAGCCATCCGAAAGTTGAACTTTTTTTTTGTGCGGTTGCTCAACTCGCTAAACGTATTAAAAAGCGCAGTTAAAAGCCTTTTAGAGCGTAAACTTTGTGTATTACCGAAAAGCTTATGCGCCTTTGAGAAAGCTTCGGCGGGAGCCCTTTTACTCATTAAGCTACTCTATCTCTCACTCGCTAACTCGATATCGATAGCCTCTATAAATGACCCCCTTCATTAGCCGCTTCGTCGTTTCAAGCTACGATTGATATTTCGTCGCGGCCTCCCCCCCCCCCCCCCGTACGACCTGGCAAATCGTCCGCGCGAGACAGCCTTGTCGGCTTCTTCAATAGAACCATCGAGCGCTGCACGACGCTGGGTTTCAGCGATGCCACTCGAGAGAAAACAAGGAAAACAATGAAGCGCGGCGGATCGGCGGAGTAGCCGAGAAGTCGGAAAGTATGCAATTTGAATGGAAAGCAGGGCAAGACAGGTGTAGCGCGCGCGGCAGGTCTCGAGGCAGGGCCAATTGGCTGCGGCACAGCCGGGCCGCAATAAACCTGCTGGCAGTCGATCTCGTCTGGGAGGAATCCCGGCTGCTGATTCGCCGAAGAAACAAAGAGCTTTTCTTTGCTCCCCCCCCCCCCCCCCCGCGAAAAGCCAATTCGCCGAGTAGACGAGGCTAATGCATAGGCCCCGCGACCTCCGCCCTCTCCCTCGTCCGCCGACTGCATCGGCGACACGGCTCGCTCGAGTGCAAAGCCTATAGCCCGCAGGGCCGCGCGGCGCGCGTGAGGTTGCACACCGGGAATCCCAATAAGGCGGCGGCTGCAGCCAAAAGAAACGCGATACATCCGAGAGGAATACGCGGCCGAAGTCTGCGGCGAGCGCGCCGCTCTCGTCTCGCGGCGTCTCGCCAGGCAATTAGCGCGACCGGGGAAAAATGGGCCGCGGGGCCCCCTAACTTTGCTCGCCCGGCGTCGCTTTATTCGTTTGAGCGCGCTTTGCGAGAACTAGTCCGGGCAATAGCCACATTGACGCTTCGCCGGCCTGTCTACGGCTTTTTCATTTTAATTAGTTGGCTAAAGCTATAAAATGTTGCGAGCATGTTCCCTGATACTCAAGATGAACGAATAATTTAATTACCAAGCTTCGAGTTCTCTCCTCCTCTCCCTCTCTAGCAGTACTCGCGCTGTTTCGCCGCTTCACTCAGCGCTATTTCGTTATTTTAATTAATTAGTTTTGCGCTAAAATGCTTCGACAATAAAGCCCTGATAAGCTACTAGCGCAGCCATTGTTAACCACTTGCCGTCGGCCTCCCCTTCGTTATCTCCTCTCGATACCAACGAGATATTTTCATTCGGCCTTTTACGCGCCTCGATTAAGCGGGCTCCGCTCGATTCCGGCAGTCGTAACGCGGCAGCCACGCTGCGAGAGCCAAAGCGGAAGATAGGAGACGAGCGGCGCGCCGCCGCGGATTTCGGCACAACAGCAGCTACGCGGCGCCTCCCGTCAAAGGCGCGTGCATATACATAGGAATCGAGCGAGTTTTCCGAGCGCGTTATGTGGCCCCGAGGCGAGCCGACGCCGATAAGAAGGCGCGACTTTTTGCGAGCCCCTTCGGAGGGGACGGCAGCCCGTGTAATCTCGAGTCCGCCGTGGCCGGGATAAACCGAAACAATCACTTGTCCCCGCCGTCGCTCGTCGCGCATCTTAACGGCGGCCCTCTGGCGTCCCTTATCTTCGAGCGCGCGGTCCGCGCCCCGAAGATGGTCTCTCGACGCCGCGTACCCTCGGCGATCGATCGCTCGATCAAAATAAATAAATGACTCAAATGAGAAAACGTCCGCGGGAGCGGAAGCTCCGTCGGGGCGCCCGCGATGAAATAATAATCGGCACGACGGCATTGCGAGATCGCGGTTGGACTGGCAATGCTTAGTCCTCGAGAAGTAATAGCATCGCTGCTGGCGCTGCACTCTCAGTGTAAATAATTTCAAACCAGAAACTCCGTCCATTATTCGCGGCCGTTCTCTGAATACGCGCGCGGCGAAACTCCGAGAACGGAAAAAGAGAATGAGAAGAACGGCCAATAGGCGCGGGGAACGAGTAGCGCGCGCGCCGCCGAGCGAGAGAGTGCGGCAAGAAAGCGAGATAAGAGCGGCGGAAAAAAAAAAGTGGTAATACCGGTCTGACGCGTCTCGCTGCGTAATTCAGCGTGCAGTTGGCGCACCGCGGCTATACGCCCCTGCTACTGCTGCAGCCGCCGCCGCTGCCGCTGCTGTAGGCAAGCGCGAGCACAGGCCCCGTTTATTTATCGCCGTCAAACTGCAACCAGAAGAAAACTTGGCGGCAGCGGACCTCCACCCGTCCCACCCCGCGTCTTTACTCGCGGAAAAATATGACGGAATAAAACTTTTCGTGCTCGCGCGCGCGCGATAAAGTACCGAGAGCGCGAGCTTTCCTCCTTCTCCTCCTTCTCCACCTCGTTCTCCTTTTCTCTTTGCTCCTGCTCGAGAGGGGGACCGGAGAGAAATTCTAAACAATCGGCTGTGCGCTGCGCGATTGCCGCGGCTCCCGTTCTACGACTGCTCCGTAGATTATCGCTTTCAATTTCCAGTCGGCACCGCGGCGAGCGGTTTATTCGTGTACTCTTTGCCGCGACCCGGACGCTCAAAGGACTGCTTAATCGAGTCGAAAGTTTGTGGGTACCACTCGACTTTTATTACCCCCCATTCCCATTTTTTCTTTTTCGTACG